GAAAAAAAAGAGAAAATAATTAAATAATATCTTCAAAGTACTAACAGAAAAAAACTATCCATCCAGAATTATATACCCAGTAAAACTGCCTTTGAATAATTTTGAAGAAGATAAAATAGACACAAAAACTTAAGAGTTTACCACCAATAGACCTTCACTAAAGAAACTTCTTATTTTTTCAGGAAGAAGAAAAGAAATAGAAAGGAAAGAAACCCAAGCAAACATTTTTTGCATAAAATATCATCTAATTTGTGGTATCTGAAATAAAAGAACCCAAACAACAGATAACTATAACCTATAAACTGCGAGTAGGATGATCAGTGTTAAAGTGTTCTACAATTATTCTTGTGCTGACAGTGAAGATTAAATTAACTTTATAAGCAGAGAAGAATACCAATGCTAGCTTTTTTTAAAAAGATAACAAAAACAGAAACAGTAGAGAAAAAAACTTTAAGAAGAAAAATAAAAGTAAACAGTTCAACAAACCAAAAACTTTGATCATCTACAAACAAGACATGGGGCCAGGCACAGTGGCTCACACCTATAATCCTAGCACTGTGGAAGGCTGAGGCAAGAGGTTCATTTGAGGTTAGAAGTGCAAGACCTTGTTTCTACTAAAAATAGAAAAAATTATCCAGGCATGGTGGCACGGGCCTGTAATCTCAGCTACTCCAGAGACTGAGGCAGGACAATCACCTGAGCCCAGGAGTTTGAGGTTGCAGTGAGCTATGATTACATCACTGCATCCCAGCCAGGGCAACAGAGCGAGAGTCAGTCTCAAAAAAAATTAAAATTTAAATTAAAAAAAAAAAAAAAAAGATATGGGGGGAGGAAAACAAAAATATGTATACTTCTTAAATTCTTATTTCAAAATTTAAGAACAACAAAAATAAGTAAAAACTAAAAACTTCTTGTGTATTTTTAAATGTATACAAATGAACAGTTTGGAAACACTAAGTTGTACTTTCAACACACTAGTTTTATAAAAATGAAAAGTTACCTTCCATATCTTCATACTCCTTATCTCCCATGTTTAGGGTATATACAGTTTTCTTCTTCATTTCTCCTTGGAAAAGGGTTTCCTGTAGGATGAATTATAATAGATAATTTTTATGTTTGCCTTTTCCCAATATCAATTTTTTAATAAAACAATTCTGATCAGTAAGAAATTATCTTATACATAGAAGAACACAGTACAAGATAATCAGTTTGTGGATGGATAACCCAGTACTCTTTCATATTCCTTGCCATCAAAAAGTACAGTCTTATGGAAAAGAAAAGTGTTATATTACCATTAACCAACAAAGACTAAATGATAAGTTTTGTGGCACAGAAATAAACACAATTGAAGCTTAAGAAAAAGAGATCAATTCAGAATGGAATTTTTGGAGAATTATGTGTGTTCAGGAACTTAAGGCATTCAAGGGTCACAATAGTACAGAGAAATAAAATAGCATTTAGCTAGGCCAATCTGACAAGACTAAGAAGAGTCAGCAAGTGAGGGAAAGTGTGTGAGAGCGTGTGTGTGTGTGTGTGTGTGTGTGTGTGTGTGTGTGTGTGT